ATTTTTAAGATGAACTATTCATTTACCTGGCATAAAATAAACTGATAGGAACTGCGTTTTAATACGAGTCTATATCAGTTTCTAAAAAAAAACTGTTCTAAATTCAGTGAAAATACACATTATGTAACCAATATTTCATAACCGAATGCAAAAACATTGTGAACAATACTTGATACAGTGATTCCAAAGGGAAATTTCTAAAGTTTAATATCAGTTAATAATTTACCATTCAAACTAAAATTGTTGTAGCACAGGGCCTCAGTTACAGCATTTCATTTAGTAGCTCCCGCTACAAGTTCATCTTATCTGAGCTCAAAACCAATCCTATCTTGAATCATTGGCTCTCAGTAAATGCATTAGGACAGAGAACGAATTTAATGAGTCTGGTCATTATTGTTTTCCTGCAAAAAGGATTGGGTAGAAATTATTGGGATTCCAGCAATAGCTTAATAAAGCTTCACCTGTTAACAGACCCTCATTAGAGGCTCATTCCTGAATTAGGCGGGTGAGAGGCATACCTTGACCTCGATGAAATCTGGCTGTCCAAGGGAGATGAGATCTGCGTAGGCCTTCAGCTCATCCACATTCCAGGCTTTCACCAGGGTCAGTCTGTACACCGTACGCTGTTGCTAGAGGAGGAAACACAAGGCGGAGCTGTCAAATTACTGCCTAATTAAACCAACGCACCTGGGCTTGAGAATATGAAATGATATCTGGAACCCACTTCTATAATCGGATGTATTTCTCAGTGAAGCTGTATCTATCACAAAGATCACAAAGCCATTTTTCCCCTTTGGAATAGCATTCACTAATTTTAAACTATTGAGATGAGGATTTGCTTGTGAAATTATATTGACAGAATCGGTGGCAAACATTTTTTTTTTCCATGGCTGCATTATCTGCAAAAACACAGGGTGGACAATATAAAAATATCATTAGATAATAGCAAGAGACCATTCTTGACACATATTAGACAAAACTTTTTTATTTTTCCCCCTTTTTTACATTAATCTTTGCCCAAACATGCACTTAA